TTTTTTTTTTTTTAACAAACAACGCCCCTAGGGACGGGGGATTAGGCTGGCTCCCCAACCTGTATATAGATCATAGCCCTAAAATGGGCCAAAACACTCAACATAGTCTCACAATCCAAACACTACAGTAACGAAAACAGCATATGAAAATAGTACAAGGTCTGTCATCGGGCTAACAGGTGTCCGGAATAAGGGAATGGTCTAAGTAGAGCAAACCCAAAAACCTAATCTACTGGAATCGAAACGATGGATATCCCAGCTGATCCATCTGAACTAGTGTGCGAAGGCGTAGTGGAGCAGTGTAGGTCTGATACGTGTGCGTGTCTGGTATGGTAGCGCCAAGGCTGGCAAGGTAATCAGCAGGTCTGTTCCCCTCACGAAGAATGTGTGTGATCCTGTAATGGACAGACCGAAGTAGATCTCTAATGCGCATAAGCGGGTGCTGAATCTGCCACGAGCCCTGATGACCCGAGGACAGGAGGGTGACGACAGCCGCAACGTCCAGCTCAATCCAAATATGATAAGAGAGGTCGGCAGCAATCTGAAGGCCAATCTGTAATGCCTGAATCTCTGCATCATAGCTCGAGGAGGCTTGAAGGGACGTGTGGAAGGCGGTGATAAGAGCTCCACTGTGGTCCTGGATCAAGCCTCCTCCTCCGGCAGTACCGCTATGGCGATCGAAAGATACATCGGTGTTCAGCTTGACCCAAGGAGAGTCGGATCGAAGCCAAACAACAGCTCTGGGCCGAGGGGACGGAACAGGCGGAGGGGGAGCCACCCTGTATCGGTACGGTGGCGTGCAGTCTGTCCAGTCACGTGCAGAAAGCCTGCCCAACGCTGTGAGGAGCGAAATGTGTCTCTCCACCTGCAAAACAATGTGAGAAAGCAAGAAAGTAATATCCCTATGCTTTGCACTATTCCTTTCCGTCAAGGTGAACCAAAGGATCAGACAAGGAATAAGGAAGCTCACGTGTCTAAAGTGTGTGCTCTGTGAGAAAAAACTCAGGAGCTCAAAAAAACTGTCTGTGGAGGGTAGGGATATATGAGTCCAAGTAGCAAAATGCTCCCACACTCTCCTCACAATCTCACTCTCTAGAAAAAGGTGGGTAAAGGTCTCGGTCTCATGACGTCCGGTCTCAGAACAACACACACATCGGGAGGGGAAGGAGATCCCCCTCGCATGTAACACAGTGTCCACGGGTATCCGGCACAAGAGGAGGCGCCAAAGGAAAACATATATGGTAGGGGTGAAAAGGTCGCTCCAGATGGCTCCGAAGAGAAGATTCGGCCGATCTCTCAGCCTAATCTGCTCCCAAGCCGAGGTAGTAGAAAACACACCCGATGATGTAAGTCTCCACCTCATACCATCCGAACCGTCCCCCGAGATGGGTATCTGCTGGATCCTATCTAATAACTGCTCACTAAAAGCCGCCCCGGAGCCAACTCTCTATCAAGCTTCCCCCTATCCCACGACCCGTCCGTCCAAAGGTCGCGCACAAGCAGGTAGGGGGAATGCGACACCTGCCTATTGTTTGTCCCATTTTTGTTGCATTTTTCGTATTGATTCTTCCTTTCTTTTTCCCCCATATTAGGTCTATTCCTTGGTTTTTAGGTTGTTTTATAGTTTATTGTGTGTTTTGCTTTATTTTGGTTTTTCTTGTGTTTTCCGTTTGTTTTTCCGGTTTTTCTTTGTTTCTGGTGTGCAGGTCGAAAGCTTCGGGAGAATCTATTTTCCATGATAAGTGGGCTAGGTGAACATCATTTAATAGAGCATTTCGTTGGCAACGCACAGGAAAAAGCGGAATCGAATTCCGATGTCAAACGAGTCCGAACGACTCCGAAAGGTGAAGTCACGCAAGTGGTCCGAGCACCAGTACTAGCCGCTGTCCGAGCATTAGCGCCGCTAGCTAGCAGCTAGCGCGGCTAACCCCCCCCCCTAGCGCGGCTAACACCCCCCTAGCGCGGCTAACACCCCCCTAGCGCCGCTAACCCCCCTTAGCGGCGCTAAGCCCCCCTGCAAGTCCCAGAATTGTATAAAAACCCCCAAAACTCGTTTTCTTGGGGATTCTTTTCATTCTCCCCCTCCTGGGGACGAACCCTAGGTCCAGAAAAACACAAAAAACCCCTTCTCCTCCCTCTCTTCTTCTTCTTCGTTTTTTCTTTCTTCTTCTTTTCACTTTTATTTTCATTTCTTTCTTCTTCTTCTTCTTTGCATTTTGGATTCAAGCTTGTATGAAGGTTCAACACTTGGATTGAATAAATTGTAAGAATTTCTTTTCTCTTTAAATTAATTCATGAAAATGGTTGATTTTGGAGATATGTGTTCGTGTGTTGAATTTGATATGCTTAGCTAAATCCGATTGGGATAGGGGATGATTGTTCTTGTTTGACGTGCATTTGTCGGGCTCGATTTGTTCATGTTCATGTGAGTTGAATTGATTCAGAATTGATGAATTTGTGCTTGATTGATTGATATAATCGAAGAGTGACACTTCGATCTTGCAATTGGTAACAGTTGAATATTGATTTGTCTAGTTAGGGTTTGTCAATTCTATATGATTAGTTGATTAATCACCTTCTAGTTAATTAGCGACTTTTAGAACCGAAAGGGGAGAAGTCGTAGACCTAGGCTCGCATGAGGTAGATGATTTCGTAACTGAATAATCTATGGGTTGAGATTGAAATACATGTTTGTCGATGACCCGTCCCTTGTTACGAAAAGTTATTGGGATTGGGATATTTGGCCTATGTTGTATGCCCAAGCTTGTTCGTCTATGTTCAATCCCTTGTTACGAAGAGTTATTGGGAGCGAACCTCTAGATGTTTAAGCGAGAGTGTCAATCTCGAACCGAACGATTAATTGCCCGGCTTTGCTAGAACTTGAATTAATTATCCCCGATTCCCTAGTTTCTCCATCTTTGTTCCATCCACATTTTTAGGTAGATTATTGCTCTTTATTGTTTTTTAGACAGTAATTATTCAAACCCCTTTTCTGATTAGAGTGTTTAGGATTTTGTTTTCTTTTTATGTGTTATCATTACCAAAGCTAAATTCCGAACCGCCTTCCTCGAGAGATCGACCCGGGAAACGAATCTTTGATTCGGTACTCGGTAAAATATAACAATTTGTACACAACAAATTTGGCGCCGTTGCCGGGGAGGGCAAGTAGGATATTTAGTTTTGGTGTTTGATCTTATTTTCTGTGTTTCTCTTTATTTTAGTATTTTTAGTGTTTTTGTTTCTTTTGTGCATATGTGTTTTTCTCTTTTGTTCTTGTTTTAGTTTTTTCCTTCTTTTCTATCCTTTTTTCTTGGCTACGCGTGGTTGTTTGGTTCTGGTGTGCAGGGACAATGAATTTCAATCATGGGTACTCCTCCCTGCATTACACATCTTGGAACGACGAGCCGGTCTATTCCCCTGGGTACCACACCCAACCTTACCCGAATTCTTCTGAGCAGTGCTGGAACGATTTTCCGGTTGAGCAAACTTATGAGTCCCACGAGTTTAACGAGAAGCTCGACCAGATTCTCCATTTCATAGAGTCCAATTCAGCTCGAGAAGAAGAGGCCGCATACAATGCCAAACTCGATCTCATCTTAGATCGATTGATGGCCCGAGCGAAACAAGAGGAGAAGATTGAGCTCAAATGTGCCCGATTGAGCGAGCACGTGGAAAGTCTAGCAAGGCGCATCGACTCGATCGAGTCCCAGGCCCACAAGCTCGAGGTTGTGGACCCACATCCCATGCCCGAGCATCCAAATGAGCTCCAGGACGACTCCTCCGAGTACAATGCCAAGCTCGACTTCATCCTCGATTGGATGATGGCCCGAGCAAACCAAGAAAAGGAGATTGAGCTCGGATGTGCTCGGCTGAGCACCCAAATAGAGAGCCTCACTGTACGTCTCGATTCGATAGAAGCACAAGTCGACAACCCACACCTCAATATTGACCCTCAGGCTCAAATTCTGCAACAAATGTGTGAGGCCGAAGAGGATGACATTCTCCC